CCGGCGCTCTTCTGAGGCTTGCGGGGCCGGGGCGAGGAGGAGAGGCCTAGTGCGACCCGTGTAGGGTTTGGGCCTAGCAGTCGGGGAGGGTACGGTACGAGGGGCGGGAGAGCGAGCCGGGGTCACTTGCAGTGGAGTGAAGATCCAGGGGGAGGTGAGTGTTTTCCTTTTAAAAACAAAAGGCATCTTGTTCTTCCCCCACCCCCCTTCCCAAGTCCTTTCTTCTCCCCAAAACTGCTGCTGTGGACTGTAACCTGAGCAGGGCATGGTTTTAGACCCTGAATAACTGGGGTTGCCAGTAAGGCTTAATTTCTGCAGTTGCCAGCTGCTAGGCACGTTCAGAAAGCATTAAATCCTTAAGCTGCTGACAATAACCTCAATTTCTGTAAGGTAGATACTGTATTCCTCTGCTGTGTCTACTGAAAAAAACAGTTCTTGGGGTGTGAATCTGGGGAATGCCATATATTGTGATATTGCTCTCCTTAGGGCATAGAATTGAACTGTTTTATTACATTTCCGTGTGTTTGTATCACTGTGAAGTGTAATCTGACAGTCCAAGGCAGCTGTCAGTGACAGTTCATGTAAATGTAAACATTTGCCACTCAGAAGCTCACACTGCAAAATGAAGCAGGTCAAAGTGAGGCAGAACATGTAATTTTTGATAAATACTTCAAAATGAATTGTCACATTACAGGTTTTAGGCCCCCAGAATTCTAGGGTTTTTTATTACATCTGCTACAGGGTTGCTAGTAGTGAAAAAATGGAGTGGCCTTGACTACAGTATGGAGGACATATTCAAAGTTTACACTGATTCATTGTAACTTTCTGTTTATATTCTTAATACCAAGTGGAGACTTGTGCTTCTCCCAAAAGTGCAGAAGTGCTGTGGCCCATTTACTGCTGAAAGTGTGTAGTCCATCAGTGAAAAGATAGAGAAATTAGGTTTTTCTAACAGCAGGTGTTATGTTCGATGTAATAGTGGGAGAAAATGGTTTGAGTTCTAATTACAGAACTTGTTGCTTTACTGTAGGTAATTAAAATTAGAAAGACAAATGCTGATTGTTTAAATAGGAAATAAAAATTAATTAACTTTAAAAAGTGTTTTGGAAAAAGATCTGAAATTCAGAAATAACATTTTAACATCAGTTCTGTAACTTCATATCTAATGTAAATGCCTATTTTCTTGTGATCTGTTACAGGCTCTTAAGTACTCATCCAAGAGTCACCCCGGTGGCGGTGATCACCGTCATGACAAGATGCGAGACACCACAGATCCTTCACCACCAAATAAAATGTTGCGGCGGTCTGATAGCCCTGAAAACAAATATGGTGACAGCACAGGGCACAGTAAAGCAAAAAGTGTGCATACTCACAGAGTTAGAGAGAGGGATGGTGGTGAGTTATCTTTAATTAACCTTTATTTAAGCAATTACTAATTTCTTGTAAATACTAAAATTTAGCCATTGTCACTCAGGTGATGAGAGTGTTACACTAAATGTGCCTTGTACCTTGTTTGGAAGACTGCAGTGAAACCAAAGTGCAAGTTTCATTGGAAGCAATCATTTAGGCATTGTAACACCTATTAATTTTCTTATTTTTACAGGTATGGTAGTTTTTCTTGTAACCATAAAGGTTAAATAAACTTTTTTTTTTTTTTTAAAACTGGTATGTCTCATTTACTTTAGACATACTGTGATATTTCATAGCATGAAATAGCATTCTGGATTTTTCACTAGCAATAAATATTAGCTGTTTTAGAGACTGGTTTTTTAATAACTTTGTGTATTGTGGTGCTATACTGTGTAGTTACATGCTTCATAGACTAAACCCCATAAGAAATGAAAAAAGCTTCTTCATATTTAGCTGCTGTGTAGAATTCTTAACAATCAGAAAATGGTAATCAAAGGTAGCGCTTACTAGAGCCTTTCTTGGCAGGAGCTTAGAGAAGAATGTTCACAGTCAAGTCATCCTCCTGTGTTTTTACAGGATATTATAGACAGTAGTAATATCCCCAATATTTTTTAACTGTGATGTTATTTTCTGTCCCCGCTTCCTGGAAGAAGGAAAGAGTAGGATTTTACTTTTAGTAAACAATGGTAACAGTTGCAGTTTAGAAAACGCTGGTTACTGTCTGAATTTGGAAGCGTGTTTTCTGTTTTGTAAGTACTGTATTTGGTCTCTATATCGAGTTATAAAGTGAAGTATTCAAGTAGAGAACTTAGAGCTTTAAATCAGTGCTCTTTGTTCTATATAAAGTTAACAACTTGCGATGTACAGATAGATTTATTGCTACGCTATCATTACTTGTTAAATAAAGAAAATATCTCTAAGTACCTTTTAGGAAATACTAGTTCCACACCACAAAATGTGTTTATGGTACCCGAGTGTTCTTACAATTCCTATCTGTTTTTTCTTCTTTGGATTAATACAGAGGCTCTGTAGACCACTGGTAGTGTGATACTATTGTGTAGAAGGATTATAAAAACAGGCATCTTTTGTTAGTACACTGATTTTCATTATATCTGATCATACTTGAAAGTATAGTAATTTCAGAATTAAATGCATGTGTGAGACCAGTAGGCTGCTATTCTGTGCTACTTTTCAGGACACAGACGTGTCCTCTCTTATTTCCTGTTTACCTGTCCAAAGATACTTGTCCTACATACTCTTGCAATTCTGCTTAGTTTTGCTACAATCGGTAATTCTGCTTCAGTGGAGCTACATTTAATGGAGTTATGCATATATGAAAACATCTGGAAGATGAGGCTCTATGTCGGGAGCGTATTTGCTTATTTGTGTCTTGGAATTGTTTTTAAGATAGGGAAGACATTCTGAAGTTCTCACTGAGTCCAGCTGGATTTAATAATTGGGGAATGACCTGAAGCATGGATGTATACAGTAACGATGAAGGAAAATGAATTATTTGTAGTTTTGTAAGTGGAAGGAACACTATCCCACTGTACATTCTTCTTCCCCAAGCTGTTAACACAGTGGAAAATTTCCTTTACTCTGATCTGAAAGTGGTCCTTCGCACATCGTATGTTAATAGACTGGGAGAAGGAAGTAGTCTTCAACAGTCTGAGGGAAATTACTAATTTTGAAAGATGAACATTTGTACTATTTAATGGAAATAAAAAGTGATTTTTTTGTGTTGTTAGTAAGGTTAGATTGGCTGCAACTTCAGCTTTTTAAAATATAATCAAAACAACCAAAGCTGTATTAAATCCTGTGTATTGTATGTGGTAAACCAAAGCTGAGCAGATGTGAGCAGGAGGATATCAACTTTGTCTTTGATTTACTGAATCTTTCTGTCAGTATGAATTGATGGTAGGTATTAGAATATAGGTGAAGTGCTGTGATATTATGGATACTTGCATATTGCTAATATGCAAAAGACATAATCTAGTAGTTTACCATGTTTTCTGTCTACTGCATTTGAATTACACTGAGGTACTGTTACTGATATAGTATTCCCTTAGTTTTGTAATTACAGACATACAGTGGAAAAAAGAAAAAAAACAAATTTAAAAAAAAATTGCTAGAATTTTTCATTGAAGTCCTAATGTGACTGAAAAGTATTAATTGGCTTTGATGCTACTGTAGTTTTCTGGCTTGTTTTCTTTTCTTTTTAGACTCTCTGAGGGGGAAAAAAAATTTGGGTGTGTGGTTTGTTTTTTTTTTGTAATTGCTGTGCACTTCATTATTTTAAAATCAGTGGTGCTTGGTTTGGAACTACTGCAAAGGTGTTATTGCCTTCCTATGATCTAGCTGAACTTAACAAAACAAACCTCATTGAAAAATCTCCAGTATTTATTTCCCCAAACTGCATTAAAGTCCCAAACAAACAATCTCTCTTTCTCTCATCCCTTAGAAAACAAAACAGAACAAAAATCTGGAGTATTACTAATGAACATAAAGCCGAATTAACCTAATCTCTCCCTTTCAAGTCAATGTTTAAGAAGTCAGTCCTATATATCTCTTAGTGATTTTTGCTCTGAAGTGAAACAGGAAGATTGACTGGTGTAGCATGTTGATACGTGGGACTCAGTCATGACTGGTTCACTTTTTTGTGGTAAAGACAACTGCCTAAATGTCGTTTAAAGATTTAGGTGTACACGTATAAAATGTAAGAGCTATAATTAAATTGATTAAAAATTAATAACTCAACTCAAAAATGGTAGAATCTCCCCCTGTGAATACCTTTGGTACCTGTATAAAGGTATTTGTTGTTACAGCTTTTTTTTTAATACTCGTGGCGGAATCTTTTCTGTTTGCAGAACTGTAATCCACGGTAAGAAATTCAATTGCTTTCAATTAAGGTTTTAAAATGTGTGTTATGGATAAGCCCTCCATACCGATACAGTGCAAACAAAGCATTTTTCAAAGTTGCTTACCGCATGGTTTCTGTGGAAAGAGACTACGTACAGAGATGATTGTTTCTCTGGAGAGAGACTTCCAAGTTTGCCTTGGACTAAACACGGTAGAGTACTTGCAAGTTTTTGTCATATCCCTGGTTTCCAAAGAGTACTTTGTACATCCAGCATATCAAAAAAACTGCAGTAACTTTGTTCTTGCTTTCTGGTCCTTGTGCATGGGGACATTGTCTCTGTATGCAAGTGTTTAAAACATAATGAACAGCTACCCCCCTCAGTGCATCTCTTATTTATAGGTCAGCTGCTATAGGCAAGTGTGGAGTTTGAAGAGATTAGGGAGTCTTATGAGACCAACTCAAGTGTGAAGTTCCTTAACAGTAACAAATAGGGACTTAAAGCTAGCATTGTTTAGAGGGAATAGAACTACGAAGGGCCTTGTAGGTGTGGAAAAGTGTTTCCATTAAAGAAAAGAGGGAAGTACAAAGATTCGAGGGTTCTCATACTTGAAGATGGACGGACTGCGAACATAGGTGATCTTTGTAGGTCTTTTTAAATGCATAAATGAGGTGAGACTGGTGTACAGGAAAGAAGACAAAGAGGTCAGATAAGTAGGGTAGCTTTGCGAATGCTGTAAGGGAGATATATATATTATTTAGGGGTAAAACTTGCAAGATGCAACCCTTGGTAAAAGGGAAAAGGATGTTTGTTTCTACTTAAATGTATGGCGCAGAATGACCGACTAAGATACATAGTAGAACTTTGGGCAAAAAAAAGTTAGTTCGGTTAGGCCGGGTGTGCTCCGTTGTTTCTTATTGTGAAGAAGATACTGAGTGTTTTGCTACATTTATGTTTAAGAGACTTTGAAAATGTCTGTTTGCTTCATGCCATGATCTTACTGAGTTGTTTAAAATGACAAATGGAGAGCATTAACGTACACAGCATGAAATCTTTTGCTGGATTTTGTGCTATGTAGGCTATTTTCTTGAAATTTGATTATAACTTGTGATATTTAATTTAAATTCCAAAATACAACTGAACTCTTGTGAGTGTTTCTTTTGCATGTTTTTTTTAATTGGCAATTAAGAATACTGTCAATGACCAGTGTTATTGACTATAATACAGTTCTAAGATTCAAAATCCTGCTGCTATTGGAAACTCAGTGGAATATTGTAATGCCTTCCTAGTTTTATCGAACTAGTGGTGGAAGCTTCTGTCGTGAAGTGTTGGCTTGCTTTGTTTCCAGTGGTTCCTGAAAGAGTTCAGAGTCCTCATAGCAAAGGGACAGCGAACGGCCGGAAAGAGAGCGCTAGCTTTTCTTTCCTGTCTTAGCAACCCTCGCAGTAGAGGAGGACAAGAGGCTAACTGCTGATTAAATTAGTGTGATCATTGACCAGCAGTCAGAAATAAACGGGGTGTTAGGGCAGGCACAAGAGAGGCACAAGGAAGCTGCCTGGGCAACGTGCATTGGAGAGAGGAAATTGCAGGGTAGGTGGAAAGAGGGAAGTCAGAGTAATGAAGCATAGCGAAGGGTTGAGGAAGAATCTGGAATAGATTCTATCTATTTAGTTAGTATTAACTGCTGCTAATGTGAAAGTAATTATTCATTATTATGAAAACCATTTCCTCACTGTAACTGTATGGTCAAAGCTGGGATGAGGGAAGTTGTGATCACAAATGAGAGTAGGCTTTCCATGAAATGTGCTTTGAACACTCCCCCTCCCCAACATCCAAATGTGAAAGAGGTGATCACTCCCCTGTTCCTTCAATGTTGGCTATTTGGATGGCTCTAAAGGAGGTGGGGTTCGGTGGTTTGTTTGGTTTTTTTAAGATAAATACAATTGCTTTTGGGGCCATTCACCTCTTCGAAGCTTTTCTCTGGAATTAAAAAAAAAAAAACTGGAAAAAGTAAATTTCTGTGGTTTTCTAATTTTGATAAAAGCTTTCGTTCAAGTCTCATTAGTACTAGTACCTTCAGTGCGGGGGGGGGGGGGGGGCGGTAATTTTAAGTTTGCTTTAAAAGTT